AGGCCCTTTCTCTTTGCTGCTTGTCAGTATCGTATCTGGCTGGGGCAACAAGACCCCCTGCAGCAAATAAGCAAGAGCAGGACCCCTGTAAAAGTCTCTCCAGGGAGGGAGAACAATGAATCAGTTTCTCAGCCACCTGGGGTTTCCTCATGCAGGCTTGTCTCCCACCAGCAACCCTATGACACCTTCATTATTGAGGAATCCCAACTCCAATCCTTCGGAGGAGTGACATTTTAGGAGCCTTCAAAGGAGAAGCAGATGTTTCTCTAGTAAAGAAGGCAGAGAAAGATGGTCCAGGCAAAGGGACCAGCATATACTAAGGGACGAGAAGGCCTGGAAAAGAATGAACATTTAGGAAGTGTCCAGAGGTCAGCTAAATTAGAGGGTTCCCAGGTAGGGCATGGCAGGGCGTGATGGGAACACACTGGCCATGGAGGGCCAGGTCAGGTCCAGATGTGAAAAGTGAAGGAATCCCTTTGTTACAGGAGGATGAGGGGTACCCCAGGACCTCCAAACCTGTCTGCTCTAAATAGGTTCTGCCACCCAGCACATCAAGACAAAACATGCTCAAGTGCATAAAAGCTTCAATGGAAAACAACTTTAATACAATAAAGAGAAGAAAAACAGGAAGAATACAGTTTCCAAATCAAGCACCAAAAACTACTACCCATGCGCTTGTGGGTAAATGCCCAGCCAAACAGAGTTAGCTCAAAACAGGACCCGAGTCTAAGGCATTTCCTGGTGGGGGCCCATAGGAAAGGGGCAAAAGGGGCCAGGAAAGTCTAGAAGGAAAAGTGCAAAATCAGGGCCTCCCCGTGGCTCAGCGGGCTGAGCGCAGGGCTGTGAAACTGTCTGCAGCCTCTGCAGTGTGGGTTCGATTCTGGCAGGCCAGGGAGATACCCACATGGCGCGGCAGACTTCTCCTGCATCGCCCGCTGCTCCCCTCAGCAGTGTCTTTGGTCCGTCTGCCTGTTCTGCTCCCCACTCTGTCTCTGGTGAATTCTCTCACCCTCCCCTGCACCTGGCCTGTACCCCAGACCTTGCATAAAATAAAATAAAAAACTAAAACTAAATAAATAAATAAATAAATAAATAAATAAATAAATAAATAAAAGAAACAAGCAAAATCAAAACCCAAATCAATATAAAGGCTGCCATTGTCAGCCTCCCCACAGGTCTCTTCCCCACATCTCTGTCTCTTTCAATTGTCTCCTTCCATATCCCCCAAGTTCCTGATACAAGCCCCAGGCCAAGGAACAAGTAAGTACAGCTTCTTCACATGTCTCTCTGCTCCACTGTCTCCTCCAGGTGCTGGTCTTGGTATCCCCTTCCTTCTTTCTCCTGCCTTCTCTGGCTCCCCGTCCCTGCTCAACTCCACACTTCCATGACAGGGCAAGTGAGACACAGGGCAAGCTAGAAATTAGGCAGTTTTAGGGACAGTGCAGGAGGGGACCTCTGAAGAATTTAGGGATTTTCTCCTCAATAAACTTTTTCTTTCTCAAAATAAACCTGCGTCTTCTTGCTTGCTTGCCTGAGAGTCTGCGAAGTTCCTGCTGCGGCTTCGGAGACACCATCCCGTGGGGGTCTAGTGGCTGGGACTCAGTGCTGCACCTGCAGCCTGGGATCTGTTCCAGGCTGGAAGACTAGGCTGACAATTCCGGTATCACAAGGAACCTGGAAACTCCCCTTTCCTGGGGATTGCCTTGTTACACCTTCAGCTCTAAAATCATTCCTGTGTATTTGGCAGCAAGGTAGTTTCTCCCTGTTTGGATAATATTAAGTATTCACCTGCAGGAGGGTGGGGGAAGGACTTTCAACAATGCTTAAGAGAAACCCACACCTTGACCATTCACTCTGCTATCTGATGAACACTAAATTCATTTCCATATGAACGCATTATGTGGAGGTAAGACACAGAAACACGAATTACAAGAGACACAGCCGGCTCTTATTAAATTTCCCAGAAACACAGTGTGTGCATTAATTAGTCTAAAGCACCTGGAACCTAATGCAAGAGAGATTTACAGGGAGCAGCAGTACAGAGATGGATTAACCCCAGAAATAGGTTTGGCTCTGAGGCTGATGTTTTCTTTTCCTCTCTGAATGGAACAAGATAAGATACATTACTTACAAAATGTAACCACTTCTGGCAGTTTTACCTCTGATTCCTGCCTCCTACCCCCACCCCAAGTGCTGCCAGTCACAGAGACTGGTTCTGAAACACAACCCTGGGGCCTCTTCAGCTCAAGCCCCAGAGACACTTGCTGGTGAATTGTGCAAATCAGGGTGGGGGGGTG